ATTGCAGTTCCTGCCACCAAGGGTGGCACAATCAGCTATCAAGCATTTGTGATAACTGGCAATGAGTCTATATTACTGTGGAGGAATTTTGGCCCAATCTTCTTTGCAGAATTGTTTTATTACAGCCACGTTGGAGGTTTTTCAAGCATAAATAGCCTTTTTAAGGTCATGCCACACCATCTCAATCAGATTTAAGTCCGAACTTTGATTAGGCTACTCCAAAACCTTAATTTAGTGGGGTTTTTTGTGTTTTTTTTCTAGCCAGAGGATAACTTGCTGGTGTGTTTAGGATCATTTCCTTGCATAACCGAAGTGCATTTTTGGTTGAGGTCACAAACCGAAGGCTGGACATTCTCCCTGAGGATTTTCTGATAGAGAGCACAACTCATGGTTCCATCAATTATGGCAAGTCATCCAGGTCCTAAAGCTGCAAAACAGCCCTAGACCATCACACTACCACCACGTTTGACTATTGGTATGATGTTCTTTTTTTGAAATGTTAGTTTGACACCAGATTTGACGGGACCCACACCTTTCAATTCCAAAAAGTTAAACTTTTGTCTCATCAGTCCACAGAATTTGCCCAAAAGTCTTGGGGATAATCAAGATGTTTTTGGCAAATGTGAGATGAGACTTTGTGTTCTTTTTGGTAAGCAGTGGATTTCGCCTTGGAACCCATGGATGCCATTTTTGCTCAGTCTCTCTTATTGTTGAATCATGAACACTAACCGTAACTGAGGCAAGAGAGGCCTGCAGTTTTTTTTTTTTTTTTTTTTTTTAGATGTTATGGGTTCTTTTATGACCTCCTGGATGAGTTGTCATTGTGCTCTTGGAGTAATTTTAGTAGGCCGGCCACTCCTGGGAAGGTTCACCACTGCTCCGAGTTTTCTCCATTTGTGGATAATGGCTTTCACTGTGGTTCGTGGAGTCCCAAAGCCTTAGAAATGGCTTTGTACCCCTTTGCAGTTTAATACATCAGTTACTTTGTTTCTCATCTGTTCTTGAATTTCTTTAGATTTCGGCATGATGTGTTGCTTTTTGAGATCTTTTAGCATACATCTCTTTGTCAGACAGCTTCTATTTAAGTGATTTCTTGATTCAACAGGTGTAGCAGTAATTGGACTTCTGTGTGGCAAGTGAAATTAACTGTGCTTTCCAAAAAATGTGGTTAATTGCAGTACATTCACGATTTAGCAAGGGCGCAAATACTTTTTTACATTTGTGCAGGCAAGTTTGGACAACTTTTTTTCCCTTTAATAAATTAAATCATCATTTGAAAACTGCATTTTGTTTACTTCTGTATAGTATTAAAATATGTTTTGAATAATTTAAGTGTGACAAATATGCCAAGAGGTGATTGTAGCTGTATTACTGCATTTGTGACAGAAACAATTGAGTAGTGTCCATGATACTTTTATTTTCACTAAGAATTTTTCAGGACAAGCTTTTGGGGTATGTCCCCTTCTTCAAGATCCAAGCAGTACTAATACACAAAGTTTTAGCAGAATGTTTAAAAAAAAAAAAAAAAAAAAAGGCAGAATCTCTAAGGGGTAAACACACACACAAAATGTACAAGGCAATGGTAATAAACTAGGATAGTTAGTGAGATAAGACCGAGGGAGAGCTTTAGCCAGGCCATAGACGAGTCGGCCGATAAACGAAAAATCGGTCGGCCCCCGTTGCCAATACTGCCACCAATGTCTGCGAAAAACAGAAATTTTTTGTGGATTTTCCAGCATGACAAATAAAAATAAATGAGAAGATCTGCGAAAAATGGGCAACGGGCTGGCCCCAATAACAGCGTGAATATAGTTTTGTTTTTTTGTGTGGACGAAAAATCGGCCATAAACGACCAGTCTATGGCCTGCAATAGCCTGGGGGGATGACGGTCACAGAGGGGTTGTAAAACTGTTGAATAATGAGTAAGAAATCCCAAGTCTAAATTTAGGCCCTTATATTTTGTGTCAAATAGAACTATCATTCCTGGTTCAAAAGTTTAAGAACCAAGACATTGTGGTCTTCCATAGTGTGGTCCGGTTCTGAAAAATTATGTCCAGAACTCATCTTCATGTTCCTTGATAGTGAGTGTGTGAAAATTCATCTTTATGCTCAACTTCTGTCCTATTTTGCCAGTGCAAGAACCTTTGCTACATTTTTTGCATTGGATGAGGTACACAACATCACTGGAAGTGCAGTTATTATTATTATACAGGATTTATATAGCGCCAACAGTTGGCTCAGCGCTTTACAATATGACGGGAGACAATACAGTTCAATACAAGATGGTTAGGAGGGCCCTGCTACTTGTATGATCCTGTGATATTGAAGGTCCTTTTTCTCTGTGTGACACTTTTTGCATGATTTGATTGCACAGTTTGCATTGCTTTTATTGCAGGGTTTGCTTCCATGATTTGTGACTTCACAACTAGAATGAAGTTTCCTGCTGATTAGTGCGTCTGAGGTTGGGTGGTTTTCTGAATGCCAAAAAAAAACAGGAAGGAGGCAAATACTTTAACACAGCACTGTATATTTACAGCGGTGGAACAAAAAAAGGAAACACTACATTATTTGCAGGCGTTGAAAGCAGAAGTGATGTAACATTCTTTTGCATCTGCTGTGTCATGAGATTCCTAGCTAATAGGTGGGAAGCCTCACTTTTGTCATTCACTGCAAGCGCTGTTAGTAGTATGGAGTTGTGTCAGAGCTTAGTGAACTTCAAAGTGGGCACATTGTTGGTAATAACTTAGCTGGTGCCTCTGTGACTAAAGTTGCCAATTTATGTCACAAAGTACAGTATCAAAGGTTATTACAGCATATACATATGATTTCTGGGAAATCATCTGCTAAGCAGAAGTGTGGTCAACTGATCGGAATAAGAAAACAACTGCTGCAAAAGTGACTGCAGAGCTCAATCTCAGTCTTCACGGGATTGAGATCATGACAGTTCATGCGAAAATATCCAAAGTGACATGCACAAAATGTTTCATTTTAAAATAACAGACGGAATGATTTTCATGGAATTGGTAAGGAAAGAAAATGAATGACCAAGACTGCACATGCTCGGAAATGAAAGAATACATTACATCAGATACGACGTTGTATTCTGTCTTATGAGAATTTTCTTATGTTTAGTAACCTATTCATTTTCAAAATGAGACTAGTGTGTAAAAAAAAACAAAACACCATGATCATTCGTCTGATATTCTCATTGTGTGTATTAGCCTTTTGGCATACTTATATGGTATCCTTGTGCATGGGAGAGGTAGCTGAACATCTTGGATGAAGTTTTTGCCATGCCACCATCGTATTTGTACAACTTGCCACTAAACTTTACATAGTTGTTAAAGTTTGTATGCAAATATTTTTCCTAATTTTACAGTCAAGTGCGTTATGGAAAGTTGGGTTGTACATTTTTCCAAAAACCTTAGGGGGGGGGGGGGGGGGGGTCTATTTTTCTAAATAGTCATTTGGGGTAGTTTCTATCGTCCTGCAACTGAACTGTAAATGCAGTTCGGTGACAAAAGACATTGGCCATTGCCAGTCAGGATGCACTCCCTTTTTTCTGGGCCCTGCCATGTTCTCACGGAGGGATTAAGACATGCCTCTCTGTGGTCTCGTGTAGAAACAGTAGCATAAATAATTTTAACGCATAATTACCTACTTGCATACATAAGAAATGGGGGGGGGGAAACACAACTAGAAACTTTTTTTTGTTTTGCTTTATTACAAGTAATCGCCAATCTAAAACTATACATTTTTAAAATTTTTCAAAAATTTACAATATAGCACCTAAACCGTGTTGTTCAAAATGGTACAATTTTTGTGTTCATTCAGTATATTAGTGTAAGAAAAAAGCTTCATAAGTAAAATCCAATATATACACAATTGTTTCTACACCAGGGGGGGTTGGCCCTTAGGAGAAAAAGCAGCCTATTTAGCTTTTAGTTGAATGTGTTGTCAAACAACTCTTCCATAAACTGCATTGGAATCCATGGAAATTTCATTTGTTTAGACTGATGTATTTTGCTCTTGGTTAAATGTTAGCGCGGGTGTCGGCGGCTCCGGAGCCGCATGCGGCTCTTTTTCACCTTTCCTGCGGCTCCGGAGCACACTGCCCACCAGGTGACAGGCAATAGGGTCGGCAAGCCGCGGCTCTTTTAATGTAGATCTTCTGTGTGCCGGGCGCCCGCTGGCAAACATTGGCTGTCAGGATGTAGGCGGGGCAGCCCGGATGTAGGCGGGGCAGCGTGACGAACTCCTCTCCTCTCACAGTCCGCCCTGAAGACCAGAACGGCGCGGGAACCCAGCGAGAGGAACGCGCGGAGCAAAGGTAAGTGAATTCACACAATATGGGGAATGAATTACTATGGGGGATGAATTACTATAGGGGGGATGAATTACTACGGGGGATGAATTACTATATGGGGGATGAATTACTATATGAGGGATGAATTACTATGGGGGATGAATTACTATAGGGGGGATGAATTACTATATGGGGGATGTATTTTAAGTTTTAAAAATGTTTCTCTCAAAATAAATTTCAATCGTGGTTTTGGCGAGATTTGGCTCAGTCGAAAAAAAAGGTTGCCCACCACTGACCTAAGGCTATGATTGTGATTATGACAATACACTGTGGCCCTGATTAACCCTTTGCTTACTGGGCCCTTAAACCCCCTTCATGACCAGAGCGTTTTTTGCAATATATGCAGTGTCGGATTTGTTTTAAATGTTGCAATGGTTTTGCGGCTCCCAGTCTTTTTTTCCCTCTCGGAAATGGGTCCAAGTGGCTCTTTATGTCTTAAAGGTTGCAGACCCCTGTGTTAGCGGAAGAGTGCTGTAAGTGCAAAGTGAACCTGACATTTCTACAAAAATAAAAATTGTAGTTACCTTGCTATTGTGCTGATATTTTGTTTTTACCACTTACTTTTTTTGGTAAGCATTTTACTTCTATGTTAATAGTGACACATGTCCAGACCAGCTGTGTTTTGTGATTCCAGGAATCCACGTGGGAGAGACCACACCTGATAAACTGTTCACACTGACTGAAGTTGAGTGTCTAGGAGCCTGTGTAAATGCACCAATGGTGCAAATTAATGACAACTACTATGTAAGTATATTGATTTAAAACTGTCCTGTTTTCCCCCCGAATGTTTGAGTGTCCCTCAGTTCTGTTCTGCCTGGCACCTATCAAATGGCATGGGAGGAAGATTTTGTTTCTTGCCTTTTTGACAGAGTTGGCCATTAAATGTACTTTTTGCTTTGAGATAACGTTAATCAAGATTATTATATGTATAATATGTTAACGTCTAAACAAATTCCAGGACTCGGGCAATGTGCTCAAGCAATTACAACTGGCACCATTATGGAACCTTTTTGTAGAGCAGGACATATTCTTAGTACTGATTTGCTTCACAATTTTACATCAATTTCTGGACTTTTGATGTATTCAAACTCATTAAATGGGGTCCTTCTCTTAAGTTCCCCTGATAATGCTGGGATTAGTTTAAATATCCTTGGTTCTGATAAGTACCTGGAATGTACATCTGATAATGTCATTAATAGCTATTTTATATAAGCCAATTTTTGTTTCAAGCTTATTGGTTCTTTAAAAGCTGACTACCATATGTCTTTTTAAGCTGGTTTATAAGCATGGCATACTAATGCTTTTGTAAAGCATATCAACCCCTGATTCGTGTTCAAATAGAAAACTTTGTATACAGCATAATATATTCTTTACATAATACAAATGTCGGGGGAAAAAAATTTAAACTATAATTGTGAAAGGAAGCTACATTACAGAAAAGAGCTGGACATAGTCATGTGTTTAGCATTTGGTCTTGCATTATATGATCTCTTGAAGTTCAAAACTGAACTGTTTGAGTGAAGCATCACTACTCACATGGACCCATGCTGTGCTTCTCGTTTTGCTTACTGTGAACCACACACTTTGGTATTGCATGCTGATTTTTCCCAACTAGCATTATGTGTGTATATAAAGCCCAACAAGGACAAGCTGAACTTCTAAAGGAAACAATATGTATAATTTTTACCTTGAAACTATAAATACATTTTCTTAACCTATAAATTATGTTTTGAAAGAAAAAAAAAAAAACAGACTTATTTTTCCCTGGATAAAAAATTACACAGTCAGGTGCACCTTGTAATGGAAACTTTGTTCGATGAATCATATCCACAGTATATTACCATTAGCTTCTGTATGTACATGAGTCACGACAGCATGGAACAAGATTTCAAGTTAGTGTTGCAAATGCTGTTGTCAGATGCTTTAAACCATTTCTCACACATTTAAAATATATTTATAGTCATCTGCAAGGGCTTGCTATTGCTTAAAATGTTTGCTTTGCATATATAAATATTTCTCACCAGGGTTCCTTGAGCAGTGAGCAATTGATCTCACGACTAATAATGTAAGGGGGTAGTTCTTCACTGACCGGTGAGACAATAAATTCTTCAGTCTCTGTTTTTACCATTATTTCCTTTTCATGATTGACGTATAGAGCAAGTAGAACTATCAGCTCTGGGTGTAAAATAGTATGCCATGTTTTCTTTTTATAAATGTTCCCCAACTTACTGATCATGGTAAAATGTAGAATGAATACTTTTTAGCAGGAGTTCCCTGAGATGTCACCATTTTGAGGGTTCCTCCAAGGTACATAGGTTGAGAGAGGCTGATCTAGATTGGGATTGTTGCTGTGTTACTAGCTAATCTACCTGCTAATCTCACAGCAGTGCAGTGAGACTTTAAATACAGGTTTTAGATGTGCAGATGGTGTTTATTGTGTAGAGAATGGAGCACATGCACTTCAGATAAAAGATGGCTTTTGCAGCTTACTACTTCCTCCTAGTGAATACAGTGACAACAAATCTGTTGTGAAAGATGTCTGCTTAATTCGGAAAAAAAATATTAAAGTGGCAGTTAGGAACCTGATGGTAAGTGAGAATTAACACATATATAAAGCATTTGTCTAATATCAATAGTGAGAATGTGTATTCATAGAACTTGAGTTTGTCTGGATGTTTTGAATGATTGAGTCGGCAATCTCAATCATTTAAATCGATCAATGTGTAACAGTGCCTCCAATATAAAAATATTTAGGCTGACCAATTAATTATTCCTTAGATTTGCTGCTCTATGCAAATATTCTTTTAAGCACAATAAAACTGTGTGAAACTAGAATAAATTATTTATATTACAATTAAGTCACTTAAACACAAATAAGTTATATTCATAATGAACAACCTCAGTTTACCTCCGCTAAATATATGTATATACCGGGGAACTAGATTAAAACAAATAATTTCCTCTCGTAGATACCATAACCACACATACTAAAGCTGACAGACAAATCTGCGTTTCACAGATTTACAACTGTTATTCCCCTGCAGAAGGATTAAGGGCCCAAATCTGTCTGTGGGTTGTGCCATTACAGCAAAAGATGATTTTTTTAAAAAAGCAGTTATCTAACCTTAGAGGTTATGATATCATGAGCAGAATATCAAATTAACCCAGCAAAAATTATTGCAACTGGAATATTTAATTAAACAGGCAAGAATCCTCTAAAGAATAGCATACAGCTATTTACCCTCAGAAGCAAATGAAATGACTCACTTATGATAAATAGATATGGGTGGAGCTGGATCAAGCTTTAAAAGGAGTCAATCTCAGATGGATGATGTCTGTGTCATGTGAATGGTGACTAGCTTTCCTATTTATCTTCTCAAAATTTAACACTTCAAGAGGGTATAGTTTGTAATATTTACTCACGCCTGATTGGAGGGCGATATTACCAATTGACTATATGTTTGTACAGACGATAGCTTGCTTGTCCACCAGATGGCACTCAGACTAGAAATGTCTATATTCAGTTTTCTGGAAAGCTAATGGCTTTATTGCATTCAATCTTTATAGGATAAATCAATTTTATCCTTAGCTTGCTTTAAATTTTATTTAGAGAGTGTATATAATATATATTCTTCAGAGGGATTGGTGGCATTATTTGATTTTTATTTTTTGGTATAAACATCTAAACATGAAATCTTGGCTCCAGGGGTGTAATTTTCTTATCCAGTGATCCATGTTAAAATACTTCCTAAAACATTTTTTACATACTTTATCATTTCCATTTCACTTCTGAGCCTGTCTAAATTATTAAAACACATTCGTTATGATCACAGTCAAGCAGAAACATGGTAATATTGCCTTATCCTAACACACAGCATTCAGAAAGTATTCAGATCCCCTTCATTTTTTAAATTTGTTATATTTTAGCCTGATACAGTTGTTTAAAATCATTATTTCTCATCTCTCAATCTACAATCAGTACCTCACAATGACAAAGAGAGAGAGAATCGCATCATGGCCTGGCCAACTTTAGAAAAGATTAAAAAGACTTGGGACTTGAATCGTATTGATATTGCAAACTACTGTTCTCTGTAATTAGTATCACATCTCCTTAAATCTTGTAATCCGTCTATTTAAAAATGAAGTAATCACTCTTCTGTCTGTAAAACTGGAGAGTGAAAAATCTTGTGCAACTCTGCATAGAAACCATTCCGCTTCCAGGTTTCAATTGATCAAGCTACAGTTAGAAGCGGATTGGCTACTATCTACAGCTGCACCAGAGCGCTCCAGTTTCAGTAAATCTCCCCTGTTGTGTGCACCACACTAATCATAGACTAGTGAAAGCACACAAAAATATTACTCATTCAAGAAAAGAACACTTTACTTTCCCTGCCCAGTGTCAGAAAGCTTTGCCTTAGGTGCAGGTCATAGATACTCTTACAGGGTAATGACCCAAAACACACTGCTAATAGCACCCAAGAATGACTAAGAACAAAACATAAGCTATTCTGAAATGGCCCTCCATGAGCTGTAATCTTAATCCTATCAGACATCTATGTAAAGATCTGAAACATGCAGTCTGGGGAACATACCAGACTGGTAAACCAGTTTTCTCAAGAAAACCAGCCCAAAATTACCTATTGACAAGTGCAGAAGTCTCATTAAGAGCTACAAAATAAAAATGGCTTGTTTTGCAGTTATTGTCTCTAAGGTTAGTACAACACAATATTAGGTTAGAGAGGAGTTCCAGGCTCCCCCCAAAAAAAATTAGCAGCTACACATACTGTTGGTGCTGACTTTTAATAGAATGACACTTAACCTGTCCAGTGCTGTTGTAACCCGGGCTAGTTCTTCACTAGCCTCCGGGTTCCTGGCGCTGGCATTGCAGGTCTAGCCTCCAGGTTCCTGGCCCCAGAATTGAAGGTGAGGGACACCGGAAGTGAAGTCTTGCGGCTTCACAGCCGGTTTCCTACTGCGCATGTGTGAGTCATGCTGTGTCTGTGAAGTGTCCCAGAAGACTGGTGGGAAGGAAGGGGGCTGTGGCAAACTGAGAAAAAAGTGCCAAATGGGGGGGCAGCAAACAAGCAGAGCGTCCCTTTTTGGGTGGAGCTCCACTTTAAGAGTCTCAATTTTTGTCCATGCCAATTTCATATGTTTTTTGGTATTTTAAAATATTCTGTTGCATTAAAAACAAAATCTGATTTGGTCAATTACTTTGGTAATGTTGAAGTTGTTTCAGAAAAAATTAGTGGTTTTGCATTTTTGTGGAAGGGTAGCAACACATTTTGTCTCTGGCTGTGATTTACATGCTACAGCTATTATATTCATGCACATTTACTTTTTCCACTTCAACTGGCCACCCTTTGTAGTCCAAAAAAGCATTTTAAGACCATGTCAAATTTCTTCTGAATGTTTTCATTAAAGTTGAAGTCCAACAACAAAATATAGTTAAAATACATGTATGTATTCAGTAAACTTTGGGGTCTATTAAAAAAAATTATGTGCGAACATCTCAAGCCCTCACAAGTAATACAAGTATATTGGGCAATTTGTTTATTTCCTATGATCAGCTTAATTTATTGGTTAAAATGATGTATTTTCCAGATTTGAGGTTTTTCAGTAAAATACCACACCATGGGCACTAAATGAAGCTGAATATTAGGTGTGTGAATCATAAGAACATCTAAACAGTAGGGATGCACCGAAATTTCACCAACTGAAACATATCTGCCGAAAATAGATATGCTGTTAGGAAAAATTTAGCCAATAGAGGGGACTGTGTGTACTGCAGATGTGAGGGGAGTGGACAGAACAGAGAGAAGAGCAGTGTATAGAGTGACTGGCTGTCACTATGGGGTTTATTTACTAAAGCTGGAGAGTCCAAAATCAGACTCCTTTCTGCATAGAAACCAATCCGCTTCTAACCTCAGTTTGTTCAACGAAGCTTTGGCAATGAAACCTGGAAGCTGATTGGTTTCTATGCAGAAGGGAGTCTGATTTTGGACTCTCCAGCTTTAGTAAACCCCTATATGTCAGTGCTAGTTTTTAAATATATAATTATCTTTTTTTTCTTCACTATAGCTCAGAGAAATGAGCTGTCACTCTCCCCGAGGTAAAAGAAACAAAGTTTCCTTTAGCTCCAGGGGAAAATGACAACTCATTCTCTGAGCTATAGTGAAAAAATAAAAAGCCGGCAATTGCATATAGTGACAGCCAGTCACTCTGTATACACTGCTTCTCTCCTTTTCCCTCCTTGCACACACTTCCCCCTACAAAAAGGACCTGTCACTCAGGGGGCTATTGGAGACCTATGTGGTAGCAAAAAAATAAGTTAAATAAATAAAAATATACATGAAAATAGAAAAAAAATACAAAAAAAAAAAATGCAAGTCTCCCCACATACACAGACATTTCAGTGCCCCACTACTGAACAGACTTGTAAATCTTTTGGGAGGAAGAATACTTAAATGTCAACTATATATTTAGTTGTTTGCAAAAAAAAAAAAGTCTGCTTTCAACTAGCAGTTTTAGGTCTGTCATTCCTAAATAAGCTGCAAGGCACATTGTTTTGTTGGCATCACTTCCTGTAAACCATTTATAATAAATTATATTTTTCTGACCCACCTCATGGATTTATCTTCTAGGAGGATCTTTTGCCAAGTGATATTGAAAGTATAATTGAGGACTTAAAAGCTGGAAAAATATCTACTCCTGGACCAAGGTACCCATTCTTTTACATGTTAGCATATTTTATAAGTAATTTGCCTTTTCAAATTTGTGTCTTCTGCCTTGATTAGTTTTTCCCCTAAGCACTTGTCATGTGCATTTTCTCTTCTAATAACACATCTTTCAACCTTCAGTATGCATTAACAGAATCTGATCATAGTATAATGTACTCGGAAGTAATTTTTGAAGGTAGGGCACACTCTAATGATTCTTTTTGTTTTCTCTGTCATTTCTTTTGGTTACTGGATTGAAGATGTCAGTGTCCACGTCATCAGTTTACGATACATAGGCCTTCAGTGTGTAGATTCTTTTATTTCCATTTTATAGCATCAGTTTATTTTACGCTTATTTGAATGACAGCTCTAGCACTTTCATATTCTTAGAAAACAAATTGGCCTGCTCTGGAATTCTCCTTAATTCTGGAGAAATCCTTAATAATACAAATATTCATCTAAGCGGTACTGCAAGCTGTGTCTGCTTACATGAGTCACAGGCTATTCATACTAATGACATCCTTTTCTTGAAAGCTGTGCTGCACTTGATACACAATTACACTTAATGGTGAGCATGCAGCACTTTTGCTGCTGGGCAATTATCAGATAATAGTATTAAAGGTCGCCCAGCACTAGTCTTAATGTACCGTAAGGTATGGTCTTGAAAAGGCTGCTATTTGTAGGGATTTGCTATATAGTGAATAATGTAACAGTAGTATAAAAATGGTCATCAATTCACATTAATGTGTTACTATAGATCCTGGAAGAGTATACTGATAAATGTATCTAATTGCTTTAAGGAACGGCCGTTTCTCCTGTGAACCTGCTGGGGGACTTACCTCTCTGACTGGACCTCCAACAGGACCAGGTTTTGGTGTGCGTGCAGACCTCTGAAATTACAGTGTACTGTAACTAAAAAATTCTTAATATAACTGTAAAGCTTAACCCTTATACACAAATAAAACCTTTTGTTCCAATATATCCATGTGTTGTATAGTCTGTCTATATGCAGTGCATTGCAATTATTTGTATTAAAGACACCAAAATTACTGTTTATGACATGAGAACCCATGCTCCCAATTTGATTTCACGGTAACTAATAATACTATCCCTTCTACCCGTGAAGTAAACTTGTGCTAAGGAATTATATAGATGCCATTAATTACCTCACTTTCTAAAAATTCTGTATTACCAAACATAGAGGTAGATATGTTTAAAATCCAGCCTGGGTGACAACTATGGCTTCCTCCATAGATGTAGTGAAAGAGCGAGTATAGCTACGCAAGGACCTCAATTCAGCCTTCCACACAGTGTATTCTGACAGCGGGGCAGACTTCACCACCAGAATACACTGTTCAGCGCTGCCAGCTGTGCTGATCAAGCAGCAAAAATCCTACAAGGTGGTTATAAAGAAGTTGATTGCTAGATAGGACTTTATAAACCTCCCTGCCCATACAAGGATCAAAATTTGGGTAGTCCCTGCTGAACTGGACAAATTTTGATCCATGTATGGATAGCTTACGTGTGTAATTCTCAGCAATACCAGATGAAAATAAAAAGGGGGGAAAAAAAAGCATGAAAAAAACGAAATTATTGTAGATACCTTGTCGAAGGACTGGTAAGCTGCTACTTTTTTTTTATATATATTATAATTATATATATATATATATATAGTTTTGAGGGGGTAGGCTTTGTTTTTAGCTATGCTTTAACCTAATCTTGCATAGAACAAGGAAAAAAAATCATTCAGATTGTCATTGACCCAAAATATTAAAGCTAATTGATTAGCAAGATAGACATGCATCATGCATTTAGCATTTTCAGAAGGCCTCCATATTTAAGGTATTCTTTATGGCCCATTCACACCAGAAATCGCACAGGAACGTGCTTCAGGTGCCACATGAGACACGGTGTGATTTGAGCCCATTTGCAGTGCAACCAGATCGCATGAAATCTCTGTGCCATGCAATCCGGATAGGCAAATGCACTGCATTTGCGACCTTTGGGGTGTCATTAACATTGAAACTCACTGCAGATTGCAACTGCAGTGCGGGGTGTGAATCACCACTGAATCCAAAAGTCTGTTAAGGTCTTGCAGACATATCCCTTTTAGAGCTGAGATAAAGGCTATTGCTCTTCAAAATGGTGGTAAAGATGTTGAATCTTTCGGGATAAAACCACTTAGGCAAACTCAAGAAAAACGCAAAATGAACAACACAGTGCTCACGGTATAATTGGTATTTATATAACAGAATAAAATACACTTAAAAAGGCACTTCTACTAAAAGGATATCACTATGAGATATAGCACTCAGAATTTTAACTATATTTTGTCTGTCAGCACTACACAGGCATCAGAGCCAGTCTACTCTCTCCTAGAGCAAGTCCCTGTTCCTTTTGCTCCGCCCAACATGTTTCCTCAAGATGTCATCAGGGGCACAAAGTAAAGGGATCAGAAGCAATCCATTCATCATGGACAAAAAAAAAACCTTACCAAGTACTGTATAAATGAGAATTTAAAACCCAATCCGCAATCTTCTTAATCACAACTTGATGGTGCCTGAAAGTATTCCCAAATCCAAGTACCGTTGCCACCTATGTTGTTTTCTCCTTCCACGTACCCTACTCCCACTGTGAATCTTTTTGAATAAATTAGAATCTGTTATTTTTAATTAAAAAATTAAAGTGTTAAACTAAATGTTTTAGTGCTCCCCAAAAGATATACTGGGAATAATAAATATTGTTACCGTGCAATCCCAAAATTGGTCCAAAAGTTGATCAAAAGAATGTTAAGGTCACTGATGTAACAACGGAGGACCATTTCTACACTGAGACCCTTGGGGATCAGTGTGTCTGCTTTATAGATCCACCAAGTATCCCTTTTGGATATAGCTCCTTTGATACACTATATACTGCCAAAAGTATTGGGATACCCCTCCGAATCATTGGATTCAGGTGTTCCAACCACCTCTATGGCCACAGGTATATAAAATCAAGGACCTAGACGTGCAGATTGCACCTACAAACATTTATGAAAGAATGGGTCATTCTCAGGAGCTCTGTGAATTCAAGTGTGGTACTGTGATACAAAAATAGAGCAGAAACAGGCCACCTAGAATGACACGAATAGCTGGTGTCATAATCATATCTCCGACTCACTTAGTATATAAGTGTGGATCCATAAACCCAGAAAATGCATACTGAACAATATGGTAGTGTGACAAGAGCACCCCCTACCTGAAAAAAGGTTACTAAGAGATCCACGCGGAGTAATATGGATTCAAAAATTACAGGCAATACTTTATTTGATCACATAGATCATAAGGAGGTTAAACATGAGCATGGTGAACATGTCAAGCAAATAAAATCATTTTAAAAGCACTTAGCGTCTTCATATCAGGGTCATTAGGCAAGTAGAGTACCATATAAGGCAATATACGGTAATGGTGAGGTTTTGATCCTCGGTTTCCAAGAATTTCCAGCTTGTATTAGAGTGAACCATAGATTCAGCAAATATGTTCCCAATGTAAGTCAGGATGTGTAGAGTAGCCTCCTGTGGTATGGAAGCTGGAACACAAAAATACACAAAAAATATATGAAAATATAGGAGCTGAATCACATCCAGGCCTCACCAAGCCTCCCTCTACAGTAATTAGTGGACACCTTCATTACCTTCTTAGTTGTGAAACTGTCATACCCGCTTCTCAAATGTGGGGACTTCCTGGATAGCCACCCCAAGTGAAAACACAGTCCACAGTACCAAAATGATTCTGGGGATATATATAGAAATTATTGTATAAAGCACAGGCATCAAGTGAAACCCTGAAAGCAAAAAACAAAGTATGGGTATATTACCATCGATAGAGATCAAGAGGACTCCCGTCGACTTGAAATAGGATCAGGTCCTTGATGCTTATTCAAAGGTGCATATGGGGGTGGGGAGCCAGGTAGTCACAGTACGTAGATTCCAAACACATATATTGTGTATATAGCAGGCCGTGAATACCTGAGTCTGTATACCCACTGAAGGGTTTCCAGAAATTACTCAATCTGAGAAAATTGAAGCGGTTTGAATAGGATATGGCTTGGTCACAGCATACAAAGTGCCTAAATAGGATAGCGTATATATATATATATATATATATATATATATATATATATTCCTCTAAAAAGGATTTCCAAAAATTTCCCGAGTATACAGGGTAGATTAGGCCCGTATAACAAGCCCTCTTAGCTCCAGATATACTCTATAAATCTACACAGCTGTAAGCTTAAATAACTTGCCACCGGTGGAAGGTATATTCCCCTAGGGGATTGCCGTTTGCTAACCGCTGTAGTAGTAGACTTTATGGTAGTTTCCAGAGGGCCTCGTGCCTTCCTAGCAAGGAGCTGTGACACCGCCGTTCCTTCCCACCTCGTGGGCGCCGCACCCCTATGAAGACGCCGAGCGTAGTGACGTCATTACGTCACTCTGTACAGTTCCTTTTTATTCTCTGAAACTGGCCAATGGGTATTCCCTGTTTTAAGCTCCTTGGATGGTAGCTATTAGCATGTAAAAGTGTATTGGCCGCTGTTTCCTTTCTAAACGTTTTAGTGACTAGTTTATTTTCATGAATTGAGATTGATAAATCCAAGAATGTTATTACCTCTCTATCTGCTGTATAAGTAAGTTTGATATTCCTATCGTTATCATTTAGGAATTCCATAAATTTTTTTTAAAAATAACACTTTTTACATGCTAATAGCTACCATCCAAGGAGCTTAAAACAGGGAATACCCATTGGCCAGTTTCAGAGAATAAAAAGGAACTGTACAGAAGAAGCTGAATATAGAAATGAATCTATTCAGCTCTACAAGAGGTTTAGGGAAAGAGGTTACTCACATAGAACCCTAAGAAGAGCAAAAAGAAGAGCTCTTGGTAGAACAAGAGAGGAGCTTATAAATAAACCAAAATCAAAGCCAGGGGCGAACTCGGTAAATCAACCGGTAAGATTCATAACTAAATTTGGACAACAATGGGATGAAGTCAAGAAGGCCCTGGACTCTCATTGGTATTTATTAACTCAAAATCCACAGATAGCAAGAGTGGTAGGGGAGAGCCCCCAAATGGTAGCAAAAAGAGCTCGGAATTTAAATGACATACTAGTACAATCAGAGTTTCAGAGGGCACCACAAAGAAATTGGCTAACTAGGAGGACAGGCCTATGTGGTATGTTTCCATGTGGCCATTGTCAAATTTGTCCATTCGTACATAAGTCTAATCAGTTCTTTAATAATGATAAATCTAAGGCATTCCAGATACGAAGTTTTATTAACTGCTCCAGCAGTAGAATAATATATATGATAGAATGTCCATGCAAGAAGATGTATATAGGAAAAACGAAAAGGAATCTCAGGACTAGGATCGGTGAACACTTGAGAGACATTAGAAATGAAAATAGGAATGTAAGAAAGGGAGAAAAAGAGAACCCACTGGCACAACACTTTAAAGAAGTACACGGGGGTAAAACAGAAGGTCTAAAAGTGAAAGGGATTTTCTTGCTTAATATTTCAGCTCGTCGGGGGGACTTTGATAAAGTCCTCCTACAAAAAGAAAAATTTTGGATCTATACCCTGGGTGCACTTGTCCCATACGGACTGAATACAGAACTCAACTTTGGAGTTTTTTTGAATTGAATTTCTTGGAACCTCTAATATACCCTGATATATAATCTAAACTGGGGTATTATATAGGGGAGTGAAGTATGGATCTATCCGGATAAAGTATGAATTTAACTATGTGAGTCTTCTTATTTCCACTACATATTGAATTCTTATAATAACTAGATCAATACTAAAATTAGGAAATTGAATCCTCTCTTGATGTCCCCCCCTTTTTGAACTATAATAAAAAT